TTTTCTAGCAGGGCATTGGTTGAATCATTCCTGAATGATTGGAAATCAGCAGGAACAATTGCTGTTTTTCGAAAATTTCCAAAAATGCCATTGGAAAGTTGCACACTTGTATTTTTTGAGAGATTTTGGTCCAATTTGATAACTTTTTGACCAAAAATATGTAATTAAAATACACATAAAAATATTTCATGTGGCTTCAATATACGAGTAGGTACTCAAAAATCTTACCTAGCTTTTGCAATATATTACAAAAAATTTAAAATTTTAGATATCATTAATACATGTTTCAATATAAATTCAATCATCATTAGGAAATCAATTAATTAATTATTTAATGTTCCTGTTTATAACAAAAACACCCATGCGCTACTCGGTATCATATGATTTTGAAATAGAATTTTGTCAGTCTTTATGAAATGTATTCTTCAAGCAAGTATTTGTGTGTTTCATAAAAATGAAATTGAAATTAATTAATGAATAATTCTATGATATAATATGCTATGAAAATTGTGTTAATTTTTTCAACCAAGACAGTAGATTTTACATTTACTGCCCCTTGAGAGATACCAAATATACGCGGGTACTGTATATGTATCTGCAGAGTGGGGAGATGACCTAGGAGGGCAACTCCTCCCGAGGAGTTGCCCTCCTAGGTCATCGTCCATCCTGTCCTTTTCAGGAAGACGGACAGGTCACTGGAATACATCTCCTTCATATCGGCAGGTGTAGGCCCAGACCCGCCGAACACACACTCTCTTATTGGCGATAACTCCGGGCACTCGCATAGGACATGCCTGAGGTGTGTCCACAAGCCCCATATTATGGAGGTATTTCCGTTGTTGACAGTGGTCAGTCATAAATCCTACTGTTAAGCGTAGATTTTTCCTGGTCATCGCCAGATATTTCTTTGGCACCAACGAGGGCTCAAAATATAAAAATATAATTGACTTAATGGTGATTTGATATTGTAGTAGTGTGATTTGGATTTCTTTTCAGGGTGCTGTACACTTTTACTTTCTAAATTATCTCTGTCACACATATTTCATTCAAAATTATTTTCAATCATTCATTTAGTGAAACACAGAGCTCAGTGTAGCAACAGAGATAGTGTTACCCGGTGAGAAGAGAATTGCACAGTCGCTTGCGCATGGCAACCCGTCGCCACACCAGTGGTGTGGTGGTGTGGTTTTACGTGTAGCTATAGATGTTTCACATCGAGAGATAAGGCGGAAGATAGCCCTTTTCATTCTCAAAACTTTTTCACTGCTTTCCATAAACTCGTGTACATATTAAGTAGTGCTTCCCTGTATCATGAAGAGTTAACTGCAGGAGAAAGTTTAGGATGAAGAATAGAGGCATTTAGCGATAAAGTTGGCACCCACCTGGTTGTTCTCAGATTATTTAAGCGTTTCTTAATACAGGCCATTATTTAAGATCGCAGAATGCTAATTAGGAGCTTCGAGTGTGTTTATTACGGTTGTTTGCTCCAGGCTGATACGTTGAAATATTGTATAAATACCGAATATGAATATACGCTTGTGTTTCTAAATACCAATGTTTAAGGCAATAGGAATCCAGCTATGGTCCTCGCTGTTTCTTTTGGTTATTAATCCAAAATTTATGTGAACTGTAAAAAAAACTGAGTGTCGTACGTCAAACAATATTGTGTTTTTACCATTACAAGTATTTTGTTTCCCAACACCTACATTTTATATTTGAATTGAAGGGGTTATATTTTTAGGAGTAATTAATATTTGGGAAAAAAGTTTTTGGCTTTCTACTAGTCCATCTGATACAAAAAAAGGGATGAGAGAATCTTCCAAAGAAAGGGAGGAAGTAATCAATTTGAAAATAAGTAACGCTATACATGGATGTGTAGATCATGCAAAGAAGTAACTTTCAGACACAAACCGAAAGAAAGTCCTCCTGAAACAGCTACTTTCATATAAACATTGAATTACACGAAAGAAAAAAGAATTCTTCCGAAACAAATACTTCTATATGAACATTGAATTATACAGAAGATACTTTTCTCTACTCAGTTTGTATATCAAACATTTGTTGTGGAATAAGAATCAGATATTATTCACATGAGTTCTACTTTGAATGAATGGTAATAAATTGTACTCACAGGGAACACTGTCACCTTCACTGGTATACACCGATGTTTCGCCTTAAGACACTTGCCCTAAGGCTCTTCAGTACCAAATTGGATAACATTATAGAAAATACATACACTTCATTCATGAATTACGATTTTGAATGTCACGGAATGAGCTTGATTTGTTTATGTCATCGATGACATCGTAATGACATTCATTCACATGACACATGACATTGGAAGATTTTCTCATCCCTTTTTTTTGTATCAGATGGAGTAGTAGAAAGCCAAAAACTTTCTTTCCCAAAAATATATTTTATATCTAATTGAAAATATAACAAAATATTAATTTGAAATAGATTCTTGAGAATATTATTCTCTGATGTACAAAATGGAATAATCCTAAATTTTAGTGCCATTTTTATTTGAAATGAGGTTAGTTTGATCTTTGATTAGATCGACGATCTCACCGAAAAAAAAAATAGTTCACGAACTATCACCATGGCCATGAATTATTGCCTTGAAATTGGTCAAAAATTTGTAAAAATCAAGAACCATAGTACATACTATAATACATGATCTCCTGAAAACAAAAAATATACAAAGAGATTCGAGTCGAGTCGAATATCGACTTTACGAGTTTCTTATAATTTCGAATTCAGCAGCTGATTGCATAAGATTTCAAAAATGTTTTCAAATCACTATAATTCCAGATTATTGCATATACACCAATAATTTGAAAACTCTTCTAATTTGTCCTTCATATCATACCTGAGTTTTATTTGATCTCACCAGGAAAAAAGTTCACGGTCTATCACCATGGCCATGAATAATTGCTTTGAAATTGGTCAAAAATTGGTAAAAATCACATTATTGATACCATAATACATACTCTCCTGAAAACAATAATAAACAAAGAGATTCGAGTCGAGTTGAATATCGATTTTACGAGTTTCTTATAATTTCGAATTCAGCAGCTGATCGCATAAGATTTCAAAAATGTTCTCAAATCACTACAGAAACCACTTTCTTCGCGAAAGTATGATTTCAGATTATTTCATATCCACCAATAATTTAAAAATTGTTCAACAGAATATTGAAATCAGCTGAAAAGATAAATCCAATCAGATATGAACTAATTTTCGAGTTGTTTAGTCGTTATATCAAATATAATGTAGAACTGCTTGATCAAAGTAAAGCTTTCGATTTAGTTAATTTCGATTTACTCATCATCGATGACATTTCTCTTAAATAGATGTCCAGCTATCTCACATGCCGATCACAGAAGATGCAACTGGATGATTACTCATGGTCATCCCTGAAAGGTGTACCGCAGAGAAGTATTTTAAGACCTTTGATGTTTTCAGTGTTTATTTTTGATTACCCCATTTTCTTATCACATTGTCAAGTACATCTGTACGCAGATGATATACAGTTATATTTGTCTTCTCATAACACCGATACAGAAAGTTGCGTGGCTAATATAAACACAGATTTGCACCTAACAATTCTATACTCGGAGAATCATGGACTGAAAATCAATCCAAATAAAACTTTGGCCTTATGCATAGGGTCTCAAAGACAAATAGTAGAAACTCAGTGTAGCTTTAGGCTCACTCTCGATAACGCAGACATTGACTGGGTAGACAGTGCTAAAAATCTTCGCATAACTATAGATAGGTCTTTGTCTTTCCATGAACATGTGACAAGCATTTCCGAAGTATCATTCTTCAAACTCAAATCGCTATATAAATTCAAGTATCAGAAGAAATGAAACACAGGTTAGTTAAAACTCTTATTTACCCCCATATCGAGTATTGTTGTTCGGTGTATTACAATGTTTGCCACAATATAACAAGCAGAAGTTACAGCGTATACAAAATGCTTGCATGTGATTCGTATGCTGTATACCATATGGTGAACATGTTACCCCATTTTTGTTAAAAATGAAGGAGCTGGATGTGAGGTGCAGAGTCCAATATTTGATAAAAATGTTTTTGTTCAAGTTGCTTCAAACTAAAACACCTAGTTATTTATATAGTTTATTAAGCAGGCATTCTGACATACATATGGTCAATTTGAGAATTAACTCATTCAACATACTAGGCACCGTACTTCCAAATTTCAAGGATGTTTTTCTTACATAGCCCCTTCTCATCTGAATGAAATTTTACCCCTTTAAAATCATACTATTCATCAATTTAAGGAAGAAATAAAATCACAGATGCTTACTGTCCAGTACTAATTTGAAAAATTTGTTAAGATTGTTAAGAGTTATTAGTAACTATTTGATATATTATTTTTTTCTCTTCTCTATTATTGTTATTATAGTAAATAAGTATGTTTATAATTATTTTCTTATACTCACTGTATAATTTTTGGGAGGGGAGGAAGATAGCCTTTGGCTAACCCTTTTCCTTTTATGTATGAATGTATTTTTATGCATAATAAACGATATTATTATTATTATTATACTTGTGAAAATTCCAAAAATGTATCTCTCCTAAAAATATATCTCTTTCAATTCAACTAGCAATAATGTTTTATGGTAGATCAAAAGTTATCCAACAGATGAAAATCAAAAATATAACCTATTTCTAACCTATGCCAAACAATATTTTCATTCTTTAAATATATTTATTTTGAATATAGCAACTGATAAGTTTTCTTCATTTCTCAACTCTTCTAAATTGTCCTTCGTATCATACCTGAGTTCAGAAAGTAATTCAAATACTCTGAAGACAATTTATTGGTGATAATAATAATTTCATGAGATTTTAACTTGTTAGAAAGTTGATAATCGAAGGAACTACTATCACATATTTTTTTCTAGAAGCCGTTCTCACCTCTGCATGATAAATAGCTGTCCTGGGTTCATATTCAAAACAATTGAAAAGTATTAATGAGCTGGCCATATATTACGATATTTATTGCATTTGAATTGTAGCGGAAGTTACAAAAAATATTTTCAAGAAATCAGATTACTAGAAATGAGATCTCCAGTCAAAGCAATGTAGCAGAAAGCACCATCCTCAGGCACTGGTTGATTCAGAAGAAATTCGTTAGCTTCTGCTCCGGTGGGATCTATGATGGGTTTATTTTCTGCAGCAGTTTTTGCAGCCTCCGCAAGAGGCACCAAAGTTTTCCAACTTGGTAAGTCAGCGAAGGGCCCCACAGCTCTAAGGTCTTGAAGATATCTGGAAACATCAAAATTTCAGTATGTTCTCAAGTAATTCAGCACAACACTCACCCCAATAAAGCCATCATATAATCATTCCTCATCGCTTTCATGCTGGAGCAACTGTCCTTTCCATGAATAGAGCACAGCATCTGGAGCCATGCTGCTATTCTAGTGCGATCGTTGCCATTCCTGATGAGGTAAGCGTAAGGTCTAGCTATGTATAGGAATAGTTGAAATTCCTGATCAAGAATCTGGAATTTGAACAGTGATTATACAAATCTGATATGAAGTTCTCCACTTTTATCGATTCAAATAATTTGTGGTGTGTTCCTATGACCAGGTCTTTTTCAGTGACATACCAAAAATTGTGATCATATTAGGTTTTGGTTTTCTTTCGCATATTTGCATCTGAAGATGCAATAGCAACTGAAGCAATTATAATAATAATAATAATAATAAATCGACTCTATTCAGAGTGTCAGAAGAAGCTGTTTTTCAAGTCAACCTTGAGTAACTACATCAGAAACGGATGTAGTTACAATTGGAAGGAGCTACGGCACATTCAAAATTTAGTGTCAGACAATTTTTGAAGTGTGCTTTCCGAATAAATGGATTGGTAGGGGAGGGCCACAAAGTTGACCAGCGAGATCACCAGATTTGACATGCCTAGACTTTGTTCTGTAGGGAAATTTGAAGAATGAGGTTTACTACACTTTTTCAACCACAGTTGAATAATAGAAAAAAAGTATGATTTGTTTAATGGACTGTCAGAACATGACTGTGAATGAAACTTTATTTTAGTGAATAATAAATATTTTTAATGAAGTGAAGCATAACAACTGTGATGAGAATTCTGTGAGCAAATCAAACAAATATTGAAATAGGAACTACAATTTGAAAAAGCCGATATCGGAAAAACTATTCAGGTTAGGTATAGGGAATTCCAAAATGAAATGAAAGATAATTGAATTTCATATTGTTCAGACCAAAAAAATGCAGGATGTTCAATTTGAAATAACAAAGTTATCTTTGAATATAACTAACACTAAACCATTATTTTAACACCTGTCGAGGTTTTTAAATATTGGTGTTGGGAAAAAACTTCAGTAATATTCATTACTACACCAAAGGTTTAAACAGTGCATCACAAAAAAGGGTATCTTTGTTCTAAATTATAAAAAAATTACAATAATTCTTTAACATTCTGTATAATATTTAGAGACGAGTTTCATCGAGATCCATAGCCCAAAACTTTTTTTGCTTGATCGTAATTCGAAAGGTTGATTTCTATACATTTCTATACAACCCGATAAGGTTTGTTAGATTATTTTTTGTTTATAAAAACGTCAAAAATGCCAAAAAATGAAGTCTCGTTCATTGGAAGAAAAAACTGAAGCAATTTTTATTTACGGTGCGACGCATAACTTTCACGAGACCGAAAAAATTTTCAATGAACGTTTTTACAATCGTTCTATCCGTAGGAAATATTTGGGGGAACTTGTATCCAAATTCACAACTACCAGTAGTATACATAACAAAAAGCTACCAGGTCATCCTTCCATTTCGGAAGAACAGCAAGTGCAAATAATTGGTGAGATGGTAGTAAATCCTGAACAGTCTACTCATTCCGTCGCGAATATTTGTGAGGTGTCTCCTTCTACTTTGTAGGCCATTCATGTGTCGAAAAGTTCAAGGTAACCATTTCGAGCATATTCTGAAGTGACCTCAAGCCTATTAGTTCATATTATGTAGTCGGTCGGTAGCCAAGCGGTTCGGCGTAGGTGCTTTGTTTACTCACTCGAATTGACTGCCGTGTTGGTCGGTGGTTCAAGCCCTAGTCTGAACGATCGATCTTCACTTGCTATCGTCCAACCCGTCTTAGGAATCACACGTTAAAAGGTAAGACCTCGTTAATCCTTGGCTCGCACAAGTTTCGACTTCTGAGGGTTGTCGTTCGTAGGGGTGCGACAGCTGGTTAACGGAAAAACAGATTTTACACAGATTTAAACAGATTTTAAACAGTTAAATGTCAATGTTTTCAGGCAATAATTGAAAGTTCTACCATTTTGCAGTACTTGGAGCTATTGACATTATATTCTAGGGTTGTGAAGCATTTGTCAGGAGCTTCAAATATGTCTATTCAATTTTTTTCCCAGATGGCGCCCAGTCGCCATCTTGAAAGTTTCATCTGTCAATTACACTTCAAAATTAAGTATTCATGCATTAATTTCATTATCCCAAATTTCAATTTTGTGGGTTGACCCTTTTATAAATTATATAAATGTATAACGATAAGTGGTTTTCTATGATGCGACCAATAGTCTCAGCAATTAATTCGCCTTCGTTCGCTAAATGGTTGACAAAAGAATTTGAAAATCTCCCGATCGGCCCAACCGACGCGAGTGTTAAAAAACTCACAAGAATTCATAGAGGAAATGAAAGATATTAAATTAGGAAAAGGCGAATTATTGGTATCGTTCGATGTGAGTTTCATATTTCCAAGCGTCCCAATATCACAAGCTCTAGAGTGTTCGAGGGATCTTCTGAAATCGAACAACTTAGCAAATGAAGCTGTTGAAGAATACATTCAACTCACCAAGCTTTGCATGGATCAAAATTGGTTTCAATATAATGACTCATATTATAAACAGCGTGAAGGAACGGCTATGGGTAACCCATTGTCTCCATTTATAGCGAACCTATTCATGGGTAGGTTTGAGACGGAAGCTGGGAAAGAACTCAGTTACTTCCCTAGGGTCTGGATCAGGTATGTTGATGACATATTGGCTGTAGTGGATACAAGGATAACCAGAATTGAGAATGTCCTTTCAGCACTAAACAACAGGTGTAAGAGTATAAAATTCACATATGAAGTAGAAAAAGAACGAAAGTTACCGTTTTTTAGATGTATTGGTCATAAGGAACGAACAGAAGGAATAGAATTTGACATTTACAGGAAAGACACGGGCACTTTCAGATACATTCCCAATGACTCGAATCATTGTCCACAATACAAAATGGCGGCACTGCAATTTCTGGTACACAGGTTAATAACTTTTCTTTTAAAGAATGATAAGTACAACAATGAAAAAAGAGTGATTCGGTATGTAGCTGAAGCAAACGGTTTTAACCCAGATATAGTTGACAAGATAATTAGAAAATGCAAGTTTAGGGAAGTACTTCGTAAATCTTCAACGTTTCAAAAAGAGGAGAGTAATAACAAGTTTATAGTAATCCCATATGAACCCCAATACACGAGAGGGCTTCAACAGATATTCGATAAAGTAAATATGAAAGTTGCATATAAAACTTCTCATAAATTACAACAGCTTCTTGGTAATCCAAAAGATAGACTAGAAAATACAGAAAGGTCGGGGATTTACGAAATCAGTTGTCAAGATTGCACAGCAAATACATCGGCCAGAGCCGACGAGCGATTAAAACCCGCTTCAAGGAGCATTGTACGGGAGGATAGAAAAATCTAGTGTCGCCCAACATGCTCTAGACAAGGACCACAGAATTGGTAAAAATAATCTGAAACTGATTAAGCATGTGCATGACACCAGGCTACTCGATGCATGTGAGAGTCTAGAAATAGCAACATGTAAAAACAGCATAAATGGCGATAAGGGACCCATCCCGTTTAGCCCGCTGTTTAATCTTCTATTAGGAAGAGAATAATTACTAAGAACTTGCAGGTAGTTAATTACCGAGAAATTCCATATTGGACTTCAGGTATACAACCTCAGGTAACAAATTTCAGTATATAAGGACTAACCAGACTAGACTAGGTATCAATTTTCTTCTCCTGAGGATGCTAACTTTGTTGGCGAAACGCGCGTCGAGTGCAAAAATATCAGTTTGGTGTTAGGGCAATTGATCTCGAAAAAAGTTATTCATATAAATGTATAATAAAATCGAGAAATTTCCGAAAGAATCAATGGTTTGGTTTACAGAGACCAAACATGTAACTAAAAACAAAAATTTTCTAAATTTTCCAATTATTTAAAACTTTACCTTATCCAGTTTGTGATCGTTCTTGCATTCAGCCACACTAGCGTGTACACAACACTCTAGCATCTGGAAATCATCTGGAAGACCAGCTAGAGTCTCTTGCCATGCTTTGTCGTATTCCCATTCTGCTGCTTGAACTTGGCATGACGGTATTTCGTAACAGTTGGGCAGAGCACCTTCTGGAGGGAAAGTGCGGAAAATTCCTATTGCTTCATCCAACAACAGCGATGTAGATAAGTATGCTAGATAACTATATTATGGATCACAAAAATGAGCATTAGTGATAAATAACTTTTAGATATACATACGACGAATATTTTCATAAAGATACAGTGTGCCAAGTAAATTTCGTGGATATTTTTATTAGCTTCACGTGATTCGTATGACCTAATTCAACCTACCGATTCCTTTTTTCTCGCAACCTCGTACTATGATATTCTGGTCTGAATAATTTCCTGACCCAAGGTATGACAACCCTTCTATCTGCTTCATGGGTGAGAGTTGGACCCAAAATCCTCAAAACAGCACTGTAGTACAGGAATTCAGTGTTGAGGGGATCTTGTGCAGTTCTAGAAAGGACCAATATCAATTTTGAATAAATCGTTGTTAAAATAAATCGATTGTTTCACCTCTGTGGTGGAGCTGGAGCTGGTTGGGGTGGTGGTTGAGCAGTAGCTCCTTCAGCTGGAGGACCTTTCGCTGATTGCTTGGGTGTTGGTGAAGCACTAGAAGCAGCCCCAGCTGGAGCTCTAGAATTGATTAAAAATTTCTTGGTTATAGAAATATATCATCCTATCAGAAGGTAACCAGAAAAGATACAAACAAATTTCTGGTTTACAGGATTCCAAACTTTAAATTCTTGGTAAACAAAATATCAAGTGTTGTATCTATAGAATAGAATAGAGTAGAATATATTCATTTGACTACATTACAATACATGTTTGTTTGTAGCATGTCATATTAAGTCCGGAGCTGTGAGGCAATGGCTTAACGAACATTTTCCAAACCGATGGATAGGCCGTGGTATTCCGTTTATAGAGTGGCCACCTAGATCTCCAGACCTCACAGTTTTGGACGTTTTTCTCTGGGGACTTCTCACACAAAAGGTTTACAAAAACCGCTCAAGAGATAGAAATTACTTTGCGCAAGAATTCGACAGGTATGTGCAGATATTAGCCCTCAAGAACTAAGGAACGTAATCAGAAACATTCGTAAGCGCTACGACACATGTATCGAAATACGTGGTGGATTAGTAGAGGCTACTAGAATGTGAGGTAGAATTAATTGTTGCACTGAATCAAAACATTTCAATAATTAGTTATTAATTACATTTATTAAAATCTTCTGCTTCATTGTTAGTTGAATTGTTTGAATGTAATTCCGTTGAATATATTTACGCTATTTGTTTTTTTTCATCTGGCGGCACTTTATTGTTGAAATCATAAAAAAAATGATATATTGTGACTGTTAGCTGTGTGACTTTTCGAATTTTTCAGTTGTCATAACTTTGTTAATATTGAATATTTTTTCATGAAATTTTGGTCACACCTATTTAGAGGCACTCTGAATTTAGTGGCGTAGATTTTTTCATAAATATCGCTAATAAAAAATCCCGATTTTCGACTAAGAAAAAATATCGTAGTATGCCCCTAAACTTTAATGAACATTTCAAATTTTGTCCCAAGGTAGACCTTTTAGTACTTGACATTTCAAAAAAAAAATTAAAATCGGTTTACAACTTCAAATTTTTGGAGGGTGTTTCCATTAAAAATTGGTCACACTGTAGAAAATAATATGAACTTTTTTTTACATTTGTGATATTCAAAAGTCATTATTTTGGAAAATAATTTCCAACACCAAATTTTGACCTCGGGTTAATGATCAGTGAATCCAAATATTCTGGATACATTTGAATTTTGAAATTATTGATAACTCACTCTGCAGCTGGTGGTGGTTGCTCTTCGGCTGGTGGAGGTTGCTCATCAGCTGATGGAGGTTCTTCTTCCGTTACCGTTTCGACGTTGTCCGTTTCTTCGTCCGCCATGAAAAGTGATCACGTTTAAATTTTAAAGACTGACTGAAAAATTTTGAATTATTTTTGACAGTTCTAAATCTATTTGTGTCGACTTCTGACACTAATTGGGCAACTTGTCAGTAACAAAACACTCCAGTGAAGTTTCAATAATATCTTTCATTGCCGAAGAAACAAATGTCACTTCTCCAGATTAAAAAGTTATAAAGTCGTCTCATACGGCTTAAGCCAATTTTCTTGAGTTATATAATTATTATATTAACGAATGTTCATCCGCTGTTCATGAATCTGATATCGAAACTTGCTGTTTTACTATACCTTCGGGGATACGGCCGCTCAAATGTCAAAAAATTGATTACCTATCTCAGGAACTCGCTCAAAACTTTAGGTACTTGAAATGTAGGTACTTCAAAGTGTAAAATTAGGTATATTAAGCATTGAATACGTAGAGTGTAGAGATCCCGAGGGAAGTAATGGAAAGTATCCAGTCTCTCAAGAACTCCAATTGTTCGGACTATTTTGAGCTTAATAGTAGAATCATCAAAAGTATTGCCAATATGATTGCGTACCCATTATCCCTATTAATAAATGAGTGTTTTTCTCATGGAGTTTTTCCTGCAATATTAAAAAAAATCTGTAGTCCTACCTCTTTTTAAAAAAGGAGACCCTCATATTATCGACAACTTTAGACCTATTTCAATAATACCTATACTTGGAAAAGTTATCGAGGTAATTGTCAAAAGCAGATTAATAGCATACTTAGAAGCTAATTCTCTTTTCAGCCCTGGATAATTTGCATATAGAAAGGGTAAGTCCACAATCGATGCTCTTTTGAATATCATATCCAGTATAGTGATAGGTTTTGAGGAGGGCAAACATTCATTCATAACGTTGTGCGATCTATCTAAGGCATTTGATTGTGTTTCGCATGATATTCTGCTCAAGAAACTTTCCTATTATGGTATCCGCGGACTGTCCCTTAAATTCTTTGAATCCTATTTGCACAATAGATCACAGTGTGTATCATTACATGGGATTAAATCGAATGTAAAATCTGTCAAACATGGTGTGCCCCAGGGTTCTGTACTGGGACCAATCTTGTTTATATCATATATAAATGACCTATACTACCACATACTTCCTGAAAAATGTTTTCTTTTTGCGGATGATAATACTTTGGTGGACTGTCACGGTAGTGTTAATGATTTGAGTGTTTTTGCCAACGCCACCATGAAGTCTGCAAGTAACTGGTTTGTTTCAAATAGACTTCTCCTTAATGAGGCTAAAAATCAAAATCTTATAATTTCCACAAATACGTATTTAACCTCGGGTAAAAGTGTTAAGCTACTGGGGATTCATATAGACGACAGATTGAACTGGTTATGTCATGAGTTTCACTAGTTCGGACTTCCATTGTCTACTATATAAAATGATTTGAAATCCCTGAAACAAGTAAAAAAGAATAATTAAAAAAGAATAGTTGAAAATAACAATTATATTAAGCAACAATAAACCTGAAATGAAATGATAGTGAAATAATCCTCACAAAATAATTCATTGAATTTGAAATTCTATAATAAGTTACCATGTCACATAAAACAACTCAGTTTCTACTGTTTCAAGCAAAAACTCAAATCATTTTTTTTGAATCACTGTTTTTATTCTACAGATGAATACATGTTATACAACATAGATAATTCATGTGACTTTGAGTGAGTAACATTTGTTCTCATTTTTAACATTAGTTGATTGATTGTTTCCATTATTATGTACACTGTTCTGTTATACAAGCATTGTGATGGATTTATTTGTATATATGACGTCATATTTAGAAATTTTTGTGTTTTGACTTGCTACAAATATTTGTTCAAATGTATCACGTAGCCAATAAACTATTCTATTCTAACTATTCTATAGTCAGTAAAGACACGCCCGAAGAAGCCATTGTATGGCGAAACAATTGTTGCGTTTTTTGTAAAATATATAATAAACGTGTCTATATAAAGATGCAAGAATGTAATTTTTTGGAAAACCCTAATTTCCAAATATTTTGAGCAAAATATTTGTCCATTATTTTCCAGTATAATCAGATCAACACAATGAGTATGGTTTCGACAAAGGATAGTCACCTGGGACCTCACCACTTCCACATTCTGCAATGACGACGGTTAAAGAGTAATAATCAGTTATCATCATTTCGCTTTCGCTCAGTCCTTGGCCTCTAATAAATCAAGTGATTAAGTATTTAAAGGCAGTAAGTGTTGGATCGGGTAGGCAGTATTGTGGAAAACCGAACATGTCAATCAGGTTCCATTCAGGAGACGACATAACAATGGCCGTATCAAATCGGCACAAAAGCCACTCGCAAAAACTTCATTCTGGGCGGAATTGTGAGGATTGTCCACTTACGTTTCGTCCGCTTTTCTCCGCGATTGAATTTTTAATTCGGTGGATGCTTATTCATCAGAGGAATGACGAATTACGTGTGTTTTTGTCTCCTTAGAGTTGAAGAAACGGTATATTCTGCAAAAGCTTCAAATTTTGTTAGTGTCGGAAACTTGGATGAAGATGATATATAAAATCAATATTGTTCCTTTTTTTGAGAATTAGTAAACCGAAATTCAGAAATAGAAAAACGTCAAATTCAGAAATTGATAGTACCTACCTCAATAAGGAGTGGAACTGGCCCTGACTGCATGGTTAACAAGACAGAAATTAATAAAAAAAAGAAAAAATGAAATTCCTGATTAATATTTTCATTGAAAAGTATTCCATACCTTCATATAAGTTATGTGAAGAGATTTTGCAGACTATCCAAGGAAATGCAGTGCTTGCAGATTCCCACCCCGGATCCAGAAACGATTATCATCATAACTTTTTATTCATTCTTTTTGCAGATCGCGATGTGAGAAGTTCTCTAGAAATTTTATATTGTAATTTTGAGAAAAATAAATTGTTTTTTAAAAACGGTTTTCGACTTCAAAGTTACTTAACTTATATGCCTGTGAAAATAACAAATATTGAATGAAAATTGCAATAACAACAGGTTATGATTTGAGTTATTTCCTTCATCTTCATCGTCGATTACTGTATCGTCTTCAAGGACATTTTTCTCCAGGTCTTCCATGATTTCGGAGTCGGAGGTCCTGTCTTCATTGACATCGCTCTGATATAATGAAGCATTGAGACAAGCTTGCCCATTACGCTGGCCACAAGCTAGAGAGCATTTGCAACCCAATTTCCTTCATCCATATCACGAACCTCAACCCAATTTCCTTCATCCATATCACGAACCTCAACCCAATTTCCTTCATCCATATCACGAACCTCAACCACTCTTGCGGATACAGAATATTTTATTAAGCAATTCCTCTGGAGCAGGTGCTAAAATTGTCGTGTTATTTGCCAGAAATTCGTTACGCATTGTCCAACCTCATTCCTGAAGTTCCAAATCATGTCCTAACCAAGTCTGAACTTTTGATGCACTGTTTGGAACCTTCGGTGTAGTGATGAATATTACCGGAGTTTTTTCCCAACAACAAACCGTTATTTCAACACCTCGACACGTGTTTCGATAACCAAGTGATCATCTTCAAGAGGAAGATCAAATTGATCTTCCTCTTCACCTTCCCCTTGAAGATGAAGGTGTTGAAATAAAGTTTTGGTGTTGGGAAAAAAGTTCCTGTAATATTTAAGTCTGAACTTAATAATAATGAACACGATTGAAATGTTTGTGAGCTTCTGCACTTTCTGGTGAAATATTTGATGACTTCACAGTTATATTCGGTTCTGTAACGTTTGTGCATAATAAAGATGATCGATACTGTCTACACATTTTGGAGCATTATAGACTGCCAACAAGATTTGAATTCCATCATCAGATAATCTTTGAACTGGAAAGTTATTTTCGTCAAATGCTGCTGCAAGTTGATCCAAATCCAATAATAAACGTGATATTTGCAAAAAATGTGCAAAAAATCGATTTTTGTGACATTTGACCTCAGATTTTAATAATTGCGTACACTTTACCATATTTATGTTCAAAAAACAAGTTTATACGAATTTATAGATGCGAATCTCAAATTCCGAGATGCCTATCTAATTTTTACTAAGATGACTGAGGTATTACAAGCACATGTAAGGGTCTTGAAGTTTCATATATATGTACCTGCAGAAGCAAGGTATATTGAAAATATATATGTTGTCTGTTACATATATATGTTGCAGATCGAAGTTTATTTTGAAATCATGTTTGTTATTCAGTTCAAAGGTTTCATGTTCTGAAATTCTTGTTTTGAAATTTCTAGACGTTCTTCCTACATGAACTTTTGGGCATGATCTATAGGTTAGCTTGTACTGATGAAGCTAGTGTGTACTGAAACGCGTTTTGAATAAAGATCATAGTGCAAATATTGTTCAGTTATTGTCATAGAAAGTTTTTATGATGCACTGTTTGGAACCTTTGGTGAAGTAATGAATATTACTGGAGTTTTTCCCAACACCAAATCGTTATTTTTAACACCCTCGACACGTGTTTTGATCACCAAGTGATCATCTTCCTCTTTGAAGATGATCACTTGGTGATTCATAGAAAGTTTTATTAATTGTCTTCAAGTAACTGGTCAGTGTATTCAATAGTCATTATTTGGCAGAGATTCATCCACTCCATCTGACTTGCAAGCACCTAACACGTTACCAAACAGGGCAAACAATTTAATAATCATTTTCTATCAATCTTTTTCCAATCCTGAGCTGTCACAACAGAGAAAGCGGTGATAAAACCGTAAGAAATCCTTTCGAAACCACTGATATAGCGACATAAACCATAAAACAGTGAAGGCAAAGACATCAGCGATTCTCCCCACAGAAGCGACATTATACATTTATAAGTCTTGGAAAATCCGGTTGTTATCAAGTTTTCGGGACATAAAGTCGCTTTCAGAGTAAGTGGAAGCGGTGTAATGCAGTATCAATGCGATGTTAGGCGCACCGATATCGAATACAAATACATATTTTAGCCGGAACAGCCATGTTTTGGGCGATGAATAGCGGTTCTGCGCCATTGAACACCAACTTCGTATTTAAATGTAACTATCGTATCATACACGAGCGATTCTAGT